TTTAAAATTTTCATTGATTTTTAGAGAGAGAGGAAGGGAGAGACAGAGAGAAACATTTATTTCTTGTTCTACTTATTTATGCATTCATTTGTTGATTCTTGTATGTGCCCTGACTGGAGATGGAACCTGCAACTTTAGCATGTGGGGGACACTCTAAGCAACTAAGCTACCCTGCCAGGGCCACCCGTCTTTGTCATCCCTGGCCAATCATATCAGCTCCTCTCACACTTGCCTCCCCATTGCCGCCCTCCTTAGAAACAGCTAGCAATCGGAGTCCTGCTCCTAGAGACACCTGGGTCGCTGGGAAATGTTTGCCTTTTCCAGGCGATAGAGGTACCCCTTTTGCCTTCTCTTTGTGATGTGCAGCCAAATGACCTGTTTCTTGACAAATGAAAAAGTGTCTCAGAGAAGTGGGGCTTCTCTGCAGGCAGAGCACCAATGCTGGGCCTTCTGTCTGCCCCAGCGCAGCCCACCACACTCCGGCCTACTTGCTGCCACTGAACACCCTCAGCCTGTGGAATCCAGGGATTTTCCTGTTAAGGGCCGCACTGTATGGTGTGCGTGGTGTGGATGGCACCTTTGGGCACTGAGATCTGGGACCTGTTGACAACTGATGGCTATTTAACCAGATAGCAGAGCTAGAAAACAGCTAAGTCCACTTCTTTGACCAGAACAGAAGGCAAGGGACCCACACGTTTACACACAGCTTGGGGATTCCGCCTGTTGTGACCCTTGGGCACCTTTTCCACCCCTCACCACACACACACACACACACACACACGAGTTCAAGCCACAGACAAGCAGTTTATTGGCAAGGAAACATGGAGCTGTCTGTCTGGCCTTGGAACTTCCCTGGCTTCTCCTCATTCCAGTCCTGCCCTCCCAGCCGCTTTCTCTGCGGATGTGCACAGGGCCTGGGCCTGGCGTGCAGAGCAGTTCTCCTTCTGCTCTCTGGCCCATTCTGCCAGCGTCCAGGTGTCAGGGTGGGCGGGGTCCTCCCGGGCAGGCAGGTCTGGGTTCTGTCCACGGGAACCCTTCCTGGCCAAGAGCATGTCCAATGGCCCGAGGCTGGGCACTGCCTGCCGCACAGCAGTACTCTCCTTAGAAGGATGATCAGGTTGCCCCTGCCTAGTTCTGGCCCCTAAACCCCAAGTCTCATAAGGTTGGACCACACCATGGTCCGGGGTGCTGACCCATTCTTAACAGGTTAGAGGCCACAGGAATTTAGGGTTAAAGACTTCAGGCTCAGATCAGTTTCTTAATCCAACAAAGATTTATTGAGTGCCTACGGTGCACGAGGCAGTGTTCTAGAAGCTGGGGGTATAGACCACCCTGGCAAGGTCCTGACTGCGCCCAGCTGGGACAGTTTCCTGAGCTTCAAGATCATTGTCTCCAATCTTCATCTAGTCACTGCTTTCTCCATTTCTTCCCCTCCCACCTTCTTTCCTTCTCTCTCCCACCAACTCCCAGGTCCCTTCTTCTCTGATTAGGCAAGATGCCACCCCTGTGGTCTCCTGCTCCTCCACCCTCCCTCTGCCCCATCATTCCAGTCCCACTGGTGGCTCCTCCTTGAGGGGCCTTGCCAGACCACCCCCGGTCCCAAAGGGCGTCAGGACCAGATGCCCACGCTGGTGCTTGATCCGGGCAGAGCTGTCAGCAAAACCCTTGCCACACTCCGCACACTTGTATGGCTTCTCCCCAGTGTGTGTGCGCCTGTGTTTGACCAGGTCTGAGCTCCGCGGGAACTCCTTCCCACAGAAGCCGCACACATGGGGCTGGCTGAGTCCGGAGGGCTGGGCCCGGACTCGGGGTCGAGGGGCCATGGGCGCTGGGCCGGGGGGGTTATGTGGCCTCAAGAGAGTGGATGGCGGTGGCGGCCGAGCCTGTTCACCGCGGTGGGTACGGAGGTGCTTGACTCGGGCTGAGCTGTCAGCAAAACCCTTGCCACACTCAGGGCAGAGATAGGGCTTCTCCCCCGTGTGCACCCGATGGTGTTTCACCAGGTCTGAGCTTCGGCGGAAGCCCTTGCCACACTCTGGGCACTTGTGGGGCTTGTCACCCGCGAGTGGCGGGGGTGGCTCCCCAGCCTGTGGGCCCCTGGGCTCTGGCTCCAAGCCAGGCAGGCCAAAAGGCCCGTCACCTGAGTGCGAAGGGCTTCGAGGTGTCAGTGGGGGGCTGGTGCCAAGAGGAGGTGGCGGGGAGCTGGAGCTGGGGGGTGGGCTGGGGATCAGGGGAGCCAGGGGGTAGCCTGGGAAGCTGAAGTCCTGTGGCTCCATGTGAGTCAGGCGATGGCGGAGAAGCGTGGAGCTGAGGCTGAAGGTGCAGTCACACTCAGGGCAGGCGTGAGGCCTCTCGCCGGTGTGGGTGCGGAGGTGCTTGACCCTGGCAGAGCTGTCGGCGAAGCCCTTGCCACACTCAGGGCAGAGGTAGGGCTTCTCTCCCGTGTGCACCCGAAGGTGCTTCACCAGGTCTGAGCCCCGGGCAAATTCCTTTCCACACACATCACAGCCAAAAGGCTTGGGCCCCAGGTGACTGCGCTGGTGGCTCAGCAGACTGCAGCTGAGCACAAATCTTTTGCCGCAATCGGTGCAGATATATGGCTTGTCCTGGGCTTTGGGTCCCTGTGTGGCTGCCGTGGCTGCTCGAGACGGCGGCCGCCGGGGCACCAGGGGCCGGGGGGGCTGCTCCCCACGGTGTGTTCGCTGGTGCTTGATGCGAGCAGAACTGTCACCAAAGCCCTTGCCACAGATGCCGCACTTGTAGGGCTTCTCGCCCGTGTGTGTCCGCTGGTGCTTCACCAGGTCTGAACTCTGCCGGAAGCTCTTGCCACATTCACCGCAGATAGTGGGGCGCTCCCCGGCAGGCACCCTGGACCTAGGAATCTTTGGAGGGCCCTGGGCTGGCGGTCTGGCTCTGTAGGGCTTTTCGCCACTATGAGTCCGCTGGTGTTTGATCCGGGCAGAGCTATCCCCAAAGCCCTTGCCGCAGACCCCACACTTGTAGGGTTTCTCCCCGGTGTGTGTCCGCTGATGTTTCACCAGATCCGACATCTGCCGAAAGCTCTTGCCACACTCGCCACATACAGCAGCCCGATCGCTAGCCTGGCCCCAGCGTGGTTCTCCCAGGAGCCGGGGGCCTCTGTCTCGAGCCTGAGGTTTTCCTGGTCCCTCTCTCTGGACCCACAAGTCATCCCAGGTCTGGATGCCTTCAGGCTTGAGAGAGGCATTTCCTACTTCATGACCTGGGGCCAAATCGTCCTCTTCCTTGAACCCCAAGTCATCCTCCTGTGGGGTAGGTTCAAACTCATCCGCCCGAGACATCTCCACATTCTCACCCCCTAGACCTGGGGAAAGAAAAGCGATTTGTAGACCTGCCCTGCCGCTCAGCCCAGAAAGGCTTCCTTGACAATCTGTCATCACAAGGATCTCTCTCTCTCTGAGCTTCTAAAGAACTAACTATTGTCTGCGCCTCTCATTAATAATAGTATTTTCCTTTTAACCATGCCTTTAATACGCGCCAATCACCAAACTAAGCATTACTCAACACTTGCAAACGACCCCAAGAGGTAATACCATTACTATGCCCATCTGCAGACTCAGAGAATTGAAGTCACTTGCTCAAGGTTATAAAGATTAGCAGGTAGCACAGCCAGGTTTCTAACTCAGGCCTGTCTGACGCCCAAGCCTGTGTCACCACTACCTCGTATTGTCCCTATTTAGGAAAACTGGTATTTGCTATTTCAATGCTGTCTTTTTGGTTTTAGCCCATTCTGTAATGTATTAATTCAGTCGTCTGTGTTCACCGGAGATGCCCCAGACACACACCGATCCCTCAAGATGCTTAGGGCTGGTAGGAGAAATAAGGCAAAGCAAAAATAATCATACTTGTGGGTTCAGAATAACTGCACTGTCACCAAAGTAGCAAATATATAAATACAGAGAGAGAGAGACAGACAGACACTGGAGGATAAGCTGGAAAGGGAGGTTGGGACTGAACCAAACACTAGGCTAAGGCTCTTAATTAGGAGGCAGAAGGAGCTAGGGGAGGTTTTAGAGGAGGGAGACCAGATCGGATGCAGCCTGGGCTCCATGCGGGCGCAGGGGGCATCGCTGGAGGAAAGCGGGCTGAGGGAGGTTGTTGCCACTGCCCGGCGAGGCAGCAGGAGACCCGCCGCCGGGCACAGGCAGCGAGGGCGAGGACTGCTGGGGAGGGCGAGTCCTTGCGAAGACGCCCTGCCGGCCCGGCGCACAGTAGGTGCACAGACACACGGACTCCCTCTGTTGTTGCTCCTGCTCCCCTCTCTCCCTGGAAACACAGTTCATGGCCGATTTTCCGGCGTCTTGGCGAGGCGGAGCCCAGCATCGCAGCCCTCAGCCCAGCTCTCACCTATTCATGGCGGCGCATCGCTGCGGCCTCACCTGTTCGGGCGCCGCCCGGCGGCTCCCCTTCCTCGCGGCCGTGCAGGTCCGGACCCCAGGGCTCCCCCGCGCGCT